CAATCTGTTTAATTAAAACCAATTTGCAGTTTTTAAAGGAAAACTGAATTACATGGAGTACTAATATAGCATAAAAATTTATATTAAAATGTACATATATATATATTATATAAAATAATGTTTATTTAGTTAGGACTGTTAATTAACTATAAAGCTAATAATATTTCCTAGTCACGAAGTTTTTTAACCGTTCAGTGGTTTCTGACCATAAAGGTTGTTCGGCCGTTCTGTCATTCCTTAAGTCATAATCATGAGTTTTTACCCCTGGACGAATTTCCATAATTTGGGTCAAAGGGTTGTAGGGTGAAACATCACGTCGCAGAGATTCGACGAATTTCTTGCAAGAGATGTCTCTACGAGTACTCAGATACTGTAAGTTTGAAATTTCAAGGGCTTCATCATATAACAGATCTGGATAAGCTATTCTCAATGCTCTCTTTTGAACAGATTCGAGAATGTCAGATAATGATTTAGGTATTGACGACCATACAGGGGATGCATATTCAATTCTGGATCTGATGAATGAGATATATATTTGGACGATGTCAGATGCTTGAAGACCAGCCTTTTTTAACAGACGCAATGCGTATAAGCGAGAATTTGCCTTTTTCAATACCATGTCGACATGAGTATTCCATGACAAGTCGTTTGATATCCATACACCTAGGAGTTTGAAAGAGGACACAGTTTCCACCGGTTTACCTGCAACATAGATCGGGTTTTCATCATCAGATCCTTTATATTTAAGAAAGTTGATCAACATTTGTTTGCATTTCTTATAATTTAGTTCCATTCCACGTTCTAAGGCGTAGTCCGAGATTTCATTTACGACTAATGGCATTAAACTGGATGAAAAACGTGGTATAATCTCTAGGGCTGAGGTGTCATCCACAAACTTGATCCTACTGGGCCAGTTTTTGAGTAAGGAATTAATGAGAACAGCAAACAATAATGGACCCAACTTTGTACCTTGTGGTAAGCCACCATTTGTTTTCTTCCAAGAGGACATAGAAGTTCCCACCCGGACACATTGTTCGCGATCGCAGAGGAAGGCTTTAATCCACCGAATTATAGAGGGATGGGTACCAAGCAGGGTTAACTCTTTAATAATAACATTGTGGTCTACTAGGTCAAAACCTTTCTTGAAATCTGCAAAGAACAATCTGGCAGTACAGGAACCTCTCTCAAGAGCAACCAAGATTGAATGTAAAAGGTACACCAAAGCGTGGGTCGTTGATTTCTTTGGGAGTGCAAATTGTTTGGTGTCAAGTTTATTTGCAACTTCAGGAAAAAATTTGTCCAAAGTACAATCCTCCATAACTTTGGCGATCTGAGATGTTAAAGATATTGGTCGTAGGTCGTCTTCGATATTCTTTGGGGGTGATACCTTAGGGACAGGCACTACAATAGATCTCTTCAAAGCCTTTGGGAAGGTGCTTGTGTCATGGATGAGTTGAAAATGTCCGAGATAACTGGGGCAAGCTCAAAGGGAAATGTTTTCAGGATTTTATTTGAAAACAAGTTTCCTATAGATCTGTTGGGCGTCAACGAGATAATGGTTTGGTACTTTTAGGCCCTCCTCGATTTGGTCGAGAGCTAGAGGGTCAAAATGTGATGTAAGGGCAGTAAGACATTTATTAAAATTTTTGGCGAGTTCTTCACAATTCCGAACATCATCAGAAAATAGCTGAGAATACCAAGAATTTTTTGACGAGAGACCACCAATGGCTTTCACTTCTTTCCACCATCTTGCCGGGTTAGCATTTTTTAATTTCTCAACTGACCTCATATAGTAGATCTTTCGTGCAACTTTAATGCATGATTGGACTCTGTTACGCCAATATTTATAAATATCTGAATTTTTCCCGCTTTCGTGTAAGGCTTTTTGGCGTCTCCCAATAGCAGACTTTATTGATGACGTCATCCAAGGCTTATCACACTTTCGTACTTTAATCCGTTCCAAGGGAAAGAATTTTTCAATCATCACAGTCATTGTATCGTTAAACTTTTCATATTTTGTATCACAGTCATGTATGTCCAAGATAGGAGACCAGTCAAATGTAGTGATATATCGTCCAAAAGGCCGTATCCTGCTATCTCTGAGATCGCGTTTCCATATATGTGAATTGTCTGGCTTTGAGGGAGAAGGTTGGGCTTTCATAAGAATCGTATAATGATCACTGGTTCCAATGGGAGGAAGTTGGATTGATTCGTAAATATTATCCACCTTTGAGTTGGTTAAACACCAGTCTAAAGTTACATCAGCTCTGGTAGCTACCTTGACTATCTGCGTCAGACCAGCCATTCTTTTAAGATGGTTTGCATCGAGACCCGTGCTTCTAAAATTGAAGTCGCCCGTAATTAGGACCAAAGCTTCAGGGTGGGAATATAAAAATGAGTCCACATTGGTTTGAATGTGTGAATACAATTCTACATTTTCAGTTTGGCGGGATGCTGTTGAATGGTAAACAACAGCCAGTAAGATAACCGAGACAGAGCGGGGTAGCTTCTTTGGTCTCACTGATAACCACAGTGATTCAATCGAAGAGTTTTCAAATTCCTCAATTCGTCTACAATAGATATTGCTATTTATGTAGGCACAAACACCTCCGCCGTTTGAAACCAGTCTATCGTTCCTAAACAGATTGAAATTGGACAAGGATACCAAATTGTCAGGAATTGCAGGAGATAACCAAGTCTCTGTAATGCAGACCATGTCCGTTTGGTTAAAAGACACCACAGCGTCAAGTTCGTCGACCTTGGACGTCAGGGAGCGGAGATTACAAATTAAAAGGTTTGGTATTTTGGTGGAGGGTAACGTAGACTCAAATTTTAAGCGTTCAAGTGTATTAGTTTTTTGTACTGAATAGGAGTATCGTGATGGGGTCGATTCTGGTAGATCGCTGATCGGGAAAAGCATAGGAATGCATGTGGGAGAGGACTCAAGGGAAATACATGGAGTGGAGCTCTGTTTATGAGGATTTAGTAAAATCTGTTTTGGTGGATCTGGGAGGATAATCGGGGAAAACTGGACGAGGGTAGTGGGATTTCCATTAACGGCCTTGAATAAGATGGGGGTCGCCATGGGTGTAGGCTGTACGTTTGGAGCTGCTGAGGTTGGGCTGTGTGGACGTTTGGTGGCAATGGCACTTGCGCTTGGGATAAAAAAGAGGCAGGTGGCAAATGGCTACTAGTAGTGGTTTTTAATACCGATCTTCTGGTTGGTACCCAAGCGTGGGAGAAATCACATCGATCGTCTTTCAGACAGAAGCCTCTGTTCTGCAAAAAAGGACAGGGGACATTATGTTTATGTGTATTGTGAGATGGTTTAAGATGCTGAAAGTCGCATCGGTCTCCCTTTCGACACCAACCTCGACGCAGAAGAAATGGGCAAGGAGTGGAAATCTTTGGTGGGCGGTCGTAACGATTCTTATTTGTCTGCTGGGTTCGCGGTTGCAAGGTCAAATTTTCATAAGTAGGTACACTAACTTCTGGATTGGACTGCATATTAGGCGCATTACTTTCCGGTATTCGGTCTTCGTTGGCCTTTTTCTTAGTGCTTATGGGGACGTACTGCGTTGTAGGTGTGACAGAAGATATTTCAATAGCACCAGGGAATTTTTCTATGGAGGCCAAGGCCATCTTTTCTTCTAATTTGGAGATACGTGATTTGAGATGCAAATTTTCTTCACGCAATTTGCATATATCTTGCTTATTTATGTTGATAGTTTCGTCTTGCTTGGTGAGTTTAGCCAATAAATTTGATATTTCATATTCAACCTTCTCTTTAAAATTGTCAAATAATGCATTTTTTGTAGTGGCGTTGTCGCTCTCGCGTTGTTTAAAGGGGGTAGAATTTACAAATACTTGTTGCACAGTACCCTTCGTTACTTCACTGTGTCGGGAGTTCATAATATTACAAAATGAATCGTCAATAAAATTCTCAAGCTCCACAAGCGACGAATTATCAATAGGTGATATTATATCTATTTTGGCGACAGGAATCTCGGCTCGATAATCATTATTCTCGGTTGTTAGGTTGCTTACTTCGCTTCTATCACCGGTGCAGGTTATTACTGAGACTTCGGCAGACTGTACGCCTTTCTGATGATGTTTTAACTTTGGGCTCAACCATTATCACATTATGGTCTGATAATCCGAAAGGAGGGAACACCATGGCTGGTTGTACATCGTAAAATTTATGCATGCATTCGGAAGCATGAGAGGATTATGAACGTTTTATATTGAGCGACAGACCAAAATATATTCCAATGAAGCTGGAGAATCTTGCAGAGTTATCACCAAAGATAGACAAGAATATGAGAACTCTTTAAAAATAACAAAAACGCCTAGACGTTACGCTCTTAGAAGTAGACCGTACTAATTTTTGTAAAACGTTTTGAAGAAATAAATGTGTTTTACTTCTAAATTCTTGCGTAAATTTTTGTCCGAATAGCCACGCGCCCGATTTTAAGGCATATACCTGCGTTATAAATAATATTTTAAAGATTGTCAATGACATTAGCAGCACACAATTTCGATATCAGCAAGATAAAATTTCGATATATCTCCACACAACCAATAATCTCTCTGTTCGTATCCTTTCTGTTTCAAGTTCGCTTGCTAAAATACAGACAACATGAGGAGGGCGGGTTAATGTCTTTTTAATAAATCCATTGAAAAAGGCGTATTTCCTAATGACCTTAAGATTGCATGCGTATCTCCTATACATAAAGGGGATAGGAAACTGGAATGTTGTAACTACAGATCAATATAGCGCTTTAGAATATTTATAGTGTTTAGCGCTTTATAAATTATTATTAATTATTATTATTATTATTATTATTATTATTATTATTATTATTATTATTATTATTATTAAGACATCGAGCAGTGGCGTATACACGTTCTCTGTACATGTCCTTAGTTTCAACGAAAAACTTTACTTGAATTGATCGTACTAACGTCACATTTTGGTTTTTTATACTTCTAATTAATCAATGATTCGTGTAAACTTGCTTGCGTTGTTTTCAACGCTAATAATATGTGGATTTTGTGGCAAGGATTTTGTATCGTTGGGCCGTCACTCGTGGCGCTGTAAAAGCAAAGTGGAATATGGGCAAGAAACCAGAGTAAATGCTATTCCTGCTATAGAAATCCCTTCACAAGAATGTTTGCCGGTTAAATCTTACAAGGCTGTTAAATGTTGCTGTGGTAAAGTCTGCAAAGGGGCGCGCGGTCTTAAAATGCACCAACGAAGTTGCAGAGTTATTGATGACCTTGAAGACGAGCTACAACAACAAATGTCGGAAGTATTAACTGAACATCAGAATGAGGATAATGTAGACTCAGTTAACCCTGAAATATCACATATAAACACGCAAGAAAACTTCCCTGACTTAAAAAAAGGAATCAAACTACCCAAATCGCCATTACAATGGTCAACTGCTAACGACTTTTTCAAACTAACATTTTCAAATCTTCCAATCACACCGCGGGATTTAAATAATAACATTAACACCATGGCAACAGTCGTCTATAACTATTTCAGCGAGAATTTTGGATATGTCAACAATCATAATGATGTTCAATACCAAAGAAAATATGAAAGCTTTTCAACTAAAGATTTGAAAAAATCATTAAAGAAATTAAAATTAGAAAACGGAGATATCTTGGAGATCAAGTTTGTCGCAAAGAAACTGCGCAACCTTCTTAATAAGTCTAATACTACGGACCCAAATAACACTGATAGTCATGCGTCTGCAAATATTGATCACGACAGTCTGATTGGTAAAAGTTTCTGGGGTTTCGTTAAACGATTTTTCAAAAAGAATACTAGCTCATTTCCATCATTTAACCTAGCAGAATGTACATCATATTTTACCAAAACATTGTCCGCGATTAGCCCAACTAAAACATTCAACATCCCCAGTTGGATCCCAAAATTTGCATCTCCCCAGACGCCTTTTAATCTTGACCCCCCGACCTATCAAGAGATTACAAATGTCATCCGTAAAATGAAACCGTCTGGCTCACCATGTCCACTTGATCAAATATCTATCATCTGTTTTAAACGCTGTCCTTATTTACGCTCGTACTTAACTGAGATAATCCACGCAGCCTGGTCTTGCGGTGTTGTCCCGTCTGAATGGAAGAAAGCATGCACGATTCTAATTCATAAGAAAGGAGAAACAGCAAACCCAGCGAACTTTCGACCCATTACTCTCGAATCTGTCCCACTCAAAGTTTTCACATCATGTCTTCGCAACAGGACATTTCAGTTTCTTGCAGAAAACAATTACATTGAACAGAACATACAGAAAGGTTTCACTCCAAAACTCTCAGGAACACTAGAACACACAGCACAGTTGGCACATATCATTAATAAAGCGCGAGTAAAACAACGATCACTTATCATAACACTATTAGATCTCAAAAATGCATTCGGCGAAGTCCACCATAACCTTATTTATGAAGTCCTTCAATATCACCACATTCCCGATCACATAAAGAATCTTGTCAGTAGCCTTTATACTGATTTCCAAACTTCCATAATAACTGAACAGTTCAATACTTCCTTCATTACAGTCGGTCGTGGTGTCCTTCAAGGCGATTGTCTCAGTCCTCTTTTATTCAACATGTCTTTCAATACCTTTATCCAACATATTAAATCGGAAAAATACCGTCAACTTGGATTTTGGAAATCCAGCGAAAACGGTACCCCATTAAATCCTCTTCATTGGTTCCAGTTTGCCGACGACGCGGCTGTTGTTAGCGGCCAAGAAAAAGAAAACCAAATGCTCCTTAATCGCTTTACAATCTGGTGTCAGTGGGCTCAAATGATAATACGTGTAGACAAATGTTCAACATTTGGCATTAGGAAACAAGTAACCAAATCCATTCAATATCTCCCAAAACTATTTATAAATAACTGTCTTGTACCACGTGTTGAACTTGGTAAATCGTTTCGCTACTTAGGTCGCTATTTTGATTTCAACATGTCCGACGAAGATCACAAATCTGAAGTATATGACACACTTACTAATATCCTGAATGAAATTGATGATCTACCATTACATCCGAAAAACAAAATTCTCTTATACAGTCGTTATGTGCTTTCCAAAATCTCTTGGCACTTCACTGTTTCTGACATAGGCAAAACCTGGGTTAACGATAAACTAGATAGTATCGCGTCCACGTATATCCGAAAATGGCTTGAACTTCCTATTTCTGCAACCCTTAGTAACGTCCTACTTCCCCACAATAAATTTGGATTAAATATCATTCTACCTTCAACCAAATTCCTTCAATGCCAAACTGTTTCTCGGAAAGCCCTAAAGTCGTCGCCAAATGAAGCGATCAATAACCTTTGGAAGGATACTAGCAATCACAAAAATGTACAATATGACAAATACAAAAACACCAAGGACGTATTAAACACCATCAGGAAACAACATGAAGACAAGCTTCAACACCACCTCATTTCACAAGGCTCATTTTTCTCCAATATCATTAAACATTCTACACTCTCATTCAACTCTATATGGTCCTCCGTTCAGAGTAAACTTCCCAAGAATATATTTAACTTCACTATCCGGTATATAAATAACACTCTTCCGACTCGCAAAAACCTTCTGAAATGGGGAATATCACCAACATCGGAATGTTCGTTTTGTTTGAATCCAGAATCACTTCTTCACGTCGTCGCTGGATGCAAGACCTACCTAAATGAAGGACGTTTCACGTGGCGTCATGATTCGGTGCTTAACTTCATAGCATCCATACTTAAATCTGTGAACCATTGTAACCTTTATGCTGACCTTCCTGGCTATATCAGTCCATCTGTTATCACTGGAGATGAATTGCGCCCTGATCTTTTGATAACACTTGAAAATAAATGTATTTATATACTTGAACTTACCGTCGGATTTGAATCTAATCTCCTCACTAATGCAACTCGAAAAAGACAAAAATATCAAGATCTAATTAACGAACAGCTCAAAAATTATGAAAAAGTGAAATTTGTAAATTTATCGATTAGCTCATTAGGAGTTTTCAGCCACCCGTCGCTAGATTTCACCGAAATGCTGAAGGATCTAAAGTTTGATGAATAATGTAGAAAGTACTATGTTCGGAAAATTATTAACATATGTATCAGGTCCTCGTATTATATATTCTGTAAGCGTAACAAAGAATGGGATAACCCACAACTAATGTCATACTAATATTGTTATTATGTAGAGTGTTAATTCAAGTAGATACTGGTAAACTACCTGTAAAGAGAGGTTTATCATTGTAGTGTGTATATATATTATTGAAAGTAATAAAGTTTCCATTATTATTATTATTATTATTATTATTATTATTATTATTATTATTATTATTATTATTATTATTATTATTATTATTATTATTATTATCATTATTATCTCAATCCAGCTTGCCAAAAAGCATCTATAACTTCACCATCCGTTACATCAACAACACTCTTCCCACACGCAAAAACCTTACAAAATGGGGAATAATGTCAAACTCGGATTGTTCCCTCTGCCTGAACCCTGAAACCCTTCTGCATGTGGTCGCGGGATGCCAGTCATACCTTCCACGATTTACTTGGAGACATGACTCCATTCTCAATTTTATCTCAAAAATATTCCAACCTGACCACAACTCCACTCTATTTGTTGACCTTCCTGGATACAAGAGCCCGTCAATAATAACCGGTGACACTTATCGCCCAGACCTGCTTCTTTCGATTTCAAATGATTGTCTGTACATACTCGAACTCTCTGTCGGATATGAATCCAATCTCCAAAACAACGTCGATCGCAAAAGGGAAAGATACAAGGATCTAATTACGCAGCAGAAAGACCATTACAAAACTGTCAAATTTATTAATTTGTCTATTAGTGCCTTAGGTGTTTTCTCAAAAGAATGTAACACGTTTATGAAAATGTTGAACGAAGTTGGTCTTAATAAAAAACATCAGAACTTTTGTGTTAAGAAAATAATGTCCATCGCCATCAAAACAACGTACTATATATTTTGTTGTAGAAACAAGGATTGGACCGATCCGGACTTGATGAACATTTAAGAATGAGCTTTCTCTTAGTTTTATACCTGTAATATAGTTTATCAATAATTAATAGTTCAAGTAGTCAATTATAAATTACCTTAAATAGTGAGATTTATAATTGTATATACATAATATGTCAAAATAAAGTTTCCATTATTCTTATTCTTGTTCTTGTTCTTGTTCTTGTTCTTGTTCTTGTTCTTGTTCTTGTTCTTGTTCTTGTTCTTGTTCTTGTTCTTATTCTTGTTATTAATAATAAGTATATTCGAAAATGGTTACAGATCTCGATTAGTGGCAATATCACTCATCTAAAACTGCCAAAATCATATCTAGGGATTGACTTTTGCTCTGCTTCAGATATATATTTACAATGCAAACTTTCCGTTAGGCGCATATTGAAAACATCTAAGAACAGTGATATTCAACATCTGTATTCTGTAACATCTTCCAAAAATATTAATACGGATGAAATAATTGAGAAAGTACCATCAAATGTAACAAATGGATTTGAACTGAAAACCGGAACAAATAAGTTATTGAAACAGCAAAATACAAATGATATTTAGACAAATTTTATCATGCTAAAGGAACAAAGTATTATTATAAACTATCTAACTCAAGCGTGCTGAACCTGTATAATGTATTGACGGTAATATACCATAAATTGCACATACCTTCCACATGTCCCAACTTATCAACAATTTCATCAACATTGATATTTCCAATGTCGTCAGGTACATACCAAATACCACCATCATTCACTGCAGCAAAATTCTCCGGCCGGTCATTTCTCAATCTCTCGATTTTCTCATCAATCAATTTTTGTGATGAAATAATTTCTTCAATACTTCCTCTCTTTAGGAGATTTCTTGGCAAGGACACTGAAGCTTGGACTTTATCAAGATAATCTTTCATTTCATCATGTTGTTCGCTCAGTTCACTGTGTAATTCACCATAAGCTTGGTCCACATCCTCATTCATTTTCTTTGCTCTCTCGTCAAGTTTTTCTGCCACAATCTTCAAGATATTTTCCTTTTGTTCTTGGATTTGATCTTTAACAGTTTTAGCATTTTTTTCAAGCGACTTCATCACCTCACAAATGTTGTTCAACGCTTCCTTTCCTTCAGCTACTTTCTCATCAAGTGTTATACAGCTTGATTGCAATGTTTCTCTTGCTTCTGTGTGAGTTCACTCACTGCCACACACGAATGGTTTTGTTTTTGATGATTCAACACCATGCAGTCTATACAGCTAAGTTCTTTGCATGTTTCACAATAGTATTTGAGTACTTCGTCTTTGTGTTTCGTGCAATAAAGCTTGCTTCTCGTTTTTACCTGACTTTCAGGATTGCTCAGTTCCTGTACGGATAATGTATTATGGTTTTTGTTGGCAGGCCAGGTATCATGTAACCCTGAACATTTCTTACACATAAATATTTGGCATGATGCGCAGTGATTAATGGCAGGATCTTGGCATCGGGAACATGCGGTGGATGTTTTCGCTTTTTGTTGAATCGCCATAATTTCCAGCATATTCTTGATGAAATAACTGCTTGGCAGTTCAGCAACATCTTGGTTTGATTTGAGAGTAAACTCTGAACGACATGTAGGACATGGAAATGTCTCGATCTTCTTTTCAGCACCACGAAGACGTTCAACATACTTTCCTAAACAATCCACAGACATAGAATGCACTTAAAGCATAAATAAACATGTTTAAGAATAAATTAAATGCAATAATTATTACAAAGACAGCTCAATTGTTGAGTTCCCTGCTGATAGAGGTCTCTATAAATAATAATTGAGTAACTTTAATTATAAGAATTAAGGTAATTAGGGAAGTACCGGATAATATAAAAATAAACTTCCAGCAGTATCAGGCAAAATTTATGCGTAAAATACTGCACCAAAAAATGTCAAATTTTCACTTTGATCTACCATTGAAACTTTCCCAAGGGAAGGTGCATGATTTTGATAAGAATGAGATACAGCAATTTTGTTATGATCTTACTCCAGATTGACTGAATAGCTAAACTATTTATTTTCCTAGTGATAGATTGTGGTTATAATTGTGCATAAAAGGTTGCTCAGGCGGCGAGCAATTTCCAATACAGGCATCTGATGGTGAAGATGGTGTATGGTGGTGTACTGATGTATGATGGTCGAAGTGTGTCAGATGGTTGTCAGATGGTGTATGATGGTGTATGATGGTTATACAGGGAAGGGTTGTCAGATGGTGAAGATGGTATATGGTGTCAGATGGTTGTCAGATGGTGTATATAATGGTCGAAGTGTGTCAGATGGTTGTCAGCGGGTGTATGATGGTGTATGATGGTCAAAGTGTGTCAGATGGTTGTCAGATGGTGTATGATGGTGTAGGGTGGTTATACAGGGAATTAAGGGTTGTCAGATGGTGAAGATGGTGTATGATGGTCGACGTGTGTCAGATGGTTGTCTGATCGATGGTGTATGATAGTGTATGATGGCCAAAGTGTGTCAGATGGTGTATGATGGTGTAGGGTGGTTATACAGGGAAGGGTTGTCAGATGGTGAAGATAGTGTATGATGGTCGAAGTGTGTCAGATGGTTGTCAGATGGTGTACATGATGGTCGAAGGGTGTCAAGTTTTTCAATGATTTCCTCATACTCTTCAGTTAATCTGTGTTTGCAGTGTAATTTTCCGAAATGTGTAAGCCAGTCTTCTTCGCTTGGGGAGTTGTTGGAATTAGTGTTATTCTCTATGGTATCATTAGTAGTTTGGAAATTTTTCCAAAAGAGATTTGGATTATTTTCAGTTGCCTTTTCTAATTTATTTATCTTTTCCTGGTGAAAAATGTTTTTCTTAGTTTCTAGAGTCTCTTTGTATGTTTTTAGTGTGGAATGATATGCATTTCTTAAATCTATATTTCCTGGATCCTTATGTTTTCGGTTTGCAAGTTCACGAAGTTCATGCCTCTTTATCCAGCATTCTTTGTCAAA